GGCCCGGGGTCTTACAGCGGCGGGATGTGAGTGCCGGGGAGACGGGGCAGGGGCAGCTGTGACATCGAGACCCGAGCAGGGAACCCGGGACGCCGCCGCCGCTTCATTCTCTTTTGGAAAGCACGGGCTTTCCCCCCGCCCCCCGATCATCCGGTCCCCGCTGGCGAATAGAGACCCTCAGCGGAGAAGCAAGCCCTCTTTCTTCATGGGCGAATCCCCTGGGAGGCTGCCCGGTACCCCCGCGCGCCCCCGGCCGCGACGCTGTCAGTCCACTGGGCTCCAGTTCGGGTTGGGTCGGGGTCCCTGGGGAGGCCGCTCGGCTGCCAGCCCCGAGCCCGGCTTGGCTGCTGCCGCCCTCCCCCACTTCCAGCCCCACCCTCGCCTCGTCCCCTACCCTCAGTCCCAACCCAGGCCTGTCATTCCGCTCGGCCCTAGGCCAGCCCCGACCCCTGCCCAGGTCTGCAGCCACACATCCCGCTCCCTCCCTGCCCAGCGTCTCTTCGGGTCCGGGTCTCCGAGTCTCGAGCCATTCAGCTGCTGGCCGGGCCTCTCCAGCTCGCCCGGACCCAACCCCGGCGACTTGAGGCTGCCAGACCTGGGGCTCAATCCAGACATCCACTGTCAGGCTTCACCTCCCTCCCCCGTCTCCACCCCCACTCCCGAAAGCTAACAGCCGGCTCATATCCGCCTGGGACCCTCGACCTAGGGGAAGGCAAGGAGGAGTCCGCGGGGGTTGGGGCTGAACGGGGAGGGATTTCTGTGCTTGGCTGGGGAGGGCACGCTGGAGCTCTAAGAGGAGGGGACCTTCGACCCCAAACCTACCACCTCCCGGTACCAGGTGGGGAAACTGAGGCGGAGGGAGGGGCTGGGGATGCCTGGAGCGGAGGGCTTTAAGGATGGCGGAGGAAGCGAATGTATGAGGCCCTAGGAAATGAGTCTGGGCTAAGCAGCAGCCTGTGCTTGCCCGCTTACCAGTTGTGTGTCCTGGACACTACCACTCTTCAGCTGTCTGGACCTGTTTCCTCATCTGCAAAATGGAGAGGTTGGCCAGCTGATTCAAGTGCAATGTTAACTTTACTGTTTAGTTTCCACGAGGGTGGGCGTCCTGGCCCATGGGCTCCAGGGGCTCTCCAGACTCAGTCTGTGGATATTGAGCTCTTCAGAGCCGGCAAACCTGTCCTCTAACCCTCAGTGCGAATCTGCCAAGCCCAAGCCCTAAGGCCTAGGATCCAGCTGCAGCCACCCTTCTGCTGACTCAAGCCCATCCAGCTTCCAGACTGCACTCCCAGGTGCATTCCCCATGTATTCTTCTTTCTTCTTCTTTCTTCCTCCTCCTCCTCCTTCTTCTTCCTCTTCCTCTTCTTTCTTCTTCTTCCTTCTCCTCCTCCTCCCTCTTCTTCTTCCTCTCTTCCTCTTCTTTCTTCCTCTTTCTTCCTCTTCTTTCTTTCTTTCTTTCTTTCTTTCTTTCTTTCTTTCTTTCTTTCTTTCTTTCTTTCTTTCTTTCTTTCCTCCTCCTCCTCCTTCTTCTTCCTTCTTCCTTCTTCTTTCTTCTTTCTTTCTTCAACAAAGTCTCACTTTGTCATCCAGACTAGAGTCCAGTGGTATGATCTCTGCTCACTGCAACCTCCGCTTCCCAGGTTCAAGTGATTCTCCCAAGTAGCTGGGACTACAGGTGTGCACCACCAGCCTGGCTAATTTTTGCATTTCTTGGTAGAGACGGGATTTCACCATATTGGCCAGGCTGGTCATGAACCCCTGACCTCAAGTGATCCACCTGCCTCAGCCTCCCAAAGTGCTGGGATTACAGGTGTGAGCCACCAGCCCTGGCCCTCCCCATGCATTTCTATGGCTGCCTCCCTTCTCTGTGCCCACTGCCCTCATTTCTTGTTCTGGTGTTCAAGGGCAGTGCTATTTGAGACAGTTTCTTCCAAAAATGACTCTCCCTGACAGGAACTGTCGTCTGCTAGACTCCTGGCCTTCTTCACATATCCACTCTCCTGCTTTTGTCCTTGCTGCTTCCTCTGCCAGGATCATACTCCTCTGCCTGGTGTAAAGGACACTTCCCTCCCTCCTTGTGTGCCCACATCCTCCATTACTGGGGAGGGAGGTTGTGATTTCAGGGCTGCCTCCTATGGTATGTAGGCTCCTTGGGACAGAGGCCCAGGTGCCAGAATGGGCACCTAAAGAACACTTGTGGTTCTTCGGTGTTATATTTTAATGGTCTCAGCTTTATTATGCCTCTGTTTCTTTTCTTTTTTGAGACAGAGCTGTTGCCCAGGCTGGAGTGCAGTGGTGTGATCTTGGCTGACTGCAACCTCCACCTCCCAGGTTCAAGCAATTCTTTGGCCTCAGCCTCCCGAGTAGCTGGCATTACAGTTGTGCACCACCACGCCTGGCTAATTTTTGCATTTTTAGTGGAGATGGGGTTTCTACATGTTGGCCAGGCTGGTTTCAAACTCCTGGCCTCAAGTGATCTACCTGCCTCGGCCTCACAAAGTGTTGAGATTACAGGCGTGAGCCACCACACCCAGCATTTTTTTTTTTCCCCAGACAGGATCTTGCTCTGTCACTCAGGCTGGAGTACAGTGGCACGGTCACGGCTCACAGCAGCCTGGACCTCCTGGGCTCAAGCAATCCTCCCACCTCAGCCTCTCATGTAGCTGGGACCACAGGCATGAGCCACCACACCTGGGTAATTAATTTTTTTTTTTTTTTTTTTAAAATTGTTTTTTAGAGACAGGGTCTCACTTTGTTGCCTAGGCTGGTCTCCAACTCTTGGTCTCAAGCAATCCTCCTGCCTCGGCCTCCCAAAGTGCTGGGATTACAGGCATGAACCACCACACCTGGCCTATGCCTGTTTCTGTGTCTCTAAGTTTTATGGTTCTGTGACCACTGATCTCCCACCCTGCTTTCCCCCTTGGTGATGAGAAAAGAACATTAATGGAGGGATTGGAAGGACTGAGAGATAAAACTAGAGGCTGAGGGAGGAGATCTTTTCAGATCTGACACCAGGGAAAACTTGAGATTTGGAAACTTACTATTTGTACTTGGGAGGACCAGAGTCGGCTGTGGAGAGGGCTGCAGAGAGGAATCTTTGATGGGTGCTTGGCCCCTTAAGGGCATTCCCCTTGCCATAACTCATGTGCCTCACCCCATAGTCCCCTGCTGGACATTCCACAGCTGTGGGTGGGGCCACAGATCCTCTCTCTCACCCCCAGGCCTCTGGTTAAAGTGCCACCATGAGGGTGGGGGTGTCACACATTAACTGGTAGCACCCAAGCACCTGGCAGAGTCAGCTTGCCCTTTTTGACAAGCAGGCCCCAGGGGCCTGGTTAGTCAGTTTCTGGTTAGTGTCAGGTCAGTGTTAGTTTCACTGGAGTTTGAAAAGGCCTGGCTGGAGGTGGGGAGTAGGAGTGAGTCCCTGTCTCTAATCCCCAGGCTGGGGCCTAGGAGGAGGAGCCAGGGTGGTCACTGGATCTCAGAACTGCAGTAGGGGCCGGACTCTGGCCCCACCCCTGCTGGTGTGGCAGCCCCAAGCTGACAGGCCTCTGCTGCAGCCATCCCACTGTGACTAGGGCTCTGGCCAAGGTACACAGACCCTGGGGCCAGGGTGGGCATCAGACACCAACAAGCAAGGCAGAGGCTCAGCTCTCTGAGCAATGCAGCCTGGTTCCCTCCCTCAGAAAACCCCTTGCCCTTGCCAGGACCAGGGATTCTCTGGGACTAATGGCTCACATCTATCTATTTCTGAGTCCTTATATTCCCCCACTGCTTCATCCCAACACTAGCCCCAAAGTCAGCCTGCATCCAAGCTTAGCCCTGATTCCAGACTAAGCTCTATCTCCATGATGAGCCCCAGCCTCAGGCTGAGTTCTTATCTCAATCTGATTTCTAGCCCCTGGCTGAACTCTGACCCCAAGCTGTGCCTCCACCCAGACCTCTCTCAGCTTCCAGGCCCCTCTGGAAGCTTTTTGAGGCAAGAGGCCAGTAGGGGAGGGGATGACCAGGCCATAAGTGAAGCGAGGTGCCACTTTTACAGCCATTTCGGCTGCTCATAAACACCCCCTGACACCCGGCGGAGTCGCTGGAGGCTCCCATGGCAGCTGGCCGGGCAGCCCCCTCCCCTTGCAGCAGAAGCACGGCTGCCCGGCTTTCTTGCTTCTCAGGAAGATGAAGGGAGGGACGATGGGGGCACCTGGGGCCAGCAGGCTCTGTCCCAGCCAGGGAGCACTCCCAAAGAGCTAGAGGTATGGGCTTTCTGTCCCTGCTGGCCTCATGGTTACAAGCCCCCTGCTGTCATAACACCAGGTCCACAGATGTGTCTCCATGCAGGCATGTCTTGTCTACCCCACAGCACAGCCGGCCTACCCCACAGCACAGCCGGCCTACCCCACAGCACAGCCGGCCCAGGTACTTACACACTCACCCCCGGGGAAACCACAGACTTGGACCTCCCAGCTGTGCTCAGGCCCCCAGGCTCCCCTGGCCCTCACTCACCTGGAGCCCACGGGCCTTCCAAGTCGGGCCTACAACTGCAGAGCAGACTCAAGTTGGCCACGGGGAGGCCATGGATAGTCCCTGAGCAGCTTCTGTGGCTCAGGCCTAAGCAAGGATAGCACTGCTGAGGACAGGAAAAGGCCTGAGTCAGAGCTTCCACTTGAAAAGAAAAATTAATTATTTTTTACCAGGCCCTACACTGGCCCAGGACTTTGTCCCAGACCCCTAGTCAGGAGTAGGAGGCAACAGAGACAGATCCAAGCATGCCAGTGTTCAGATGCCCTGGGTTGGGCCCTCGTCTCAGCACCCATGGGTCTGCCTGCCAGGTAACCGGGCCCACTCAGGCTGCCAGACATGTGTGTGTGCCTCAGTAGTCCTCCCCTTGCCCTGCCACGCCTCTCTCTTAGTCTCTGTGTCTCTGTCTGACCCTCTGGTCCTTTCCACATCTCAGGAATATCAGGCCGCCATGAGGTATGAACACAGCCCCTACTAGTGACTTCACTCAAGTTTAAGGCACCCAGAGAAATCAGAGGGGAGCTGGAGGTGGTTCTTGCCTGTGTCATGGGCAGGACAACTGAGGCCCAAGAAGGCCTGATCTGCCAGCACTGGGTACCCAGTGGCTCCTAGACGGAAGAGATTGGGGTGGGGGCGTCATTCCACTCCTGCCTGTGTCCTGACCCCTACAGCCCCACAGTCACCCCATATCTGACTCCTTGCCCACTGGAATGTGGGCTCCTGGTGAGGAGTCAGCCAGGAAGCCCTCTCTATCTGCCTCCCAGGCCCTTCCAGGCCCAGGGTCTGCTTAAGCTGTCACAGGTCCCAAAGGCAGGGGGCTGTGGACAGGATGACCTCTCTGTGGGTCTGTAGAACGAGCTGTGTTCAGAACCAGGGCTGGTTGCTCAGGATGAAGATGTGGGCAGACAGGGAGGCAGAGACCCTGCAAGATCCCAGAAGCGTCATCCCCAGCCCTGTGACCCGGCTGGAGGCTGCCCTTCTGCCTGAGCCCAGTCTGAGCTGGTTTGTGTCTGGAAGTCCTAGGCTCAGCCGGATGAGGTATAATGATTCACGTGGCAGCTGCCACTCAGCACATTCCAGCTGTAGCCCCCAGTGCCCTGCATGTGAGGCAGCTGGCCCCAACCACCCTCAGCCATTGGGCACGTTCCTAGGCCCCCCTCCCTGGGTCTTCCAGGCTCCTGGGGAGGGTACCACTCATTAGAGTTTCCAAAGTACTTTTTGTTTCACAAGTT